TCCAGCATTCCTGACTCTTCGGGCTGCACAAGTGATTCCTGCTAAGCGCAGAGAGACTAGAATTAGAAAGTCTGCCTTACACACATGATGAAACTTGGAGCCAGAAGTCTCAGTTTGCAATCCTACCCACCAAGGCTAGAGAGCTGCCTCAGAGGTTAAGAACACTGACTGCTCTTGCAAAGGACCTGGGTCCCGTTCCCAGCACTAATATGGTGTATTATAATTTTCTATTATTACAGTTCTAGGGGATCTGATACCCATTTCTTGCCTCTGTGGATATCGCACATACATGGTGCATATACATATACGCAGACAAACACTCATATACGTAAAGTGAAACAAATCTTGTTTAAAAAGAAAAGAAAAATATAAGTCATCGGTCAATAGCTCTAATCTCTCACACCCAGTATGTTACTTACCTGGGCCTCTGTATCTTTGTTTGCAAAATGGAAATAGCGATCTATTTCAGGGGACAATTGTGCCTAACCAGTGACAGGGGCACCCTGAGATGTCTTTCACGGATGACAAACAGCAGCGCCATCCTTGATGTGGGTTCTTTTTCTCCAGGAAGAAACACTGCCTTCTCCTTCCTCCTCTCCTCACACAATTGAGCACAAGGCACAGTGGTGTGTAGACCAAGCTCAGTGAAGATGAATCTGCTACTTGCTCGTGATGTCCAGGATGGCCCAAGGTTTTGTTAGCTCAGACCCAGGACTGGGGACAGGAGCAGCAGAGCGAGATCATCGGGCTTGAGGTGGAGGGAGAGGTAAACAGAGAGCTGTAAGATAAAAAGCAAACTGGGTTTGGAAAACAAACTCGGGCTAATGGCTGTAGGTGGTGTTAGTCATTCTGTTATGGAATTGAGGAATACATATGCATACTAATCAGAATTTATTTTGGCTGCTTCTTACTACACGTTGGGAAAAGGAAGAAGGATAAAAGATACTCTGTAAGTAGGAAGATCTCACTCTGCATGTCCGGGAAGCTGAGCCTTGGGCCTCAGCTCATCAAGACACATATGTTAACTTCTTAAAGGCCTTGGAATAGACTGGGTTGGCTGCCTGGATGGGATGCTAAGAATGAAGGACTAGGTTCCAACTCCCAGTCCATGGACTGTGGAGGGAGACCCCGGAGCCTGTAACTGTGTTCCAAGATCTGTGTGTGGGTGCACATGTATATGCAGGAGTAAATGACGTGTGTGCCTGTGTGTGTAGTGATGATCAGAGGGCTACCTTGGTATCATTCTTCAGAAACTGTCTGCCCTCCCTTCCTTCCTTCCTTCCTTCCTCCCTTCCTTCCTTCCTTCCTTCCTTTCTTCCTCCCTCCCTCCCTCCCTCCCTCCTTCCCTCCTTCCCTCCATTCCCTCCTCCTCCTCCTCCTCCTCTTCCCCCTCCTCCTCCTCTTCTTCTCTAGACAGAGTCTGCCATTGGTCTGGAACTCTCCTAGTCACCTGGGTTAGGCGGCCAGCGAACCCCAGGATCCACTCACCTTCACCTTCCCAACACTGTGATTGCAAGCCTGTAAGCCTGTGCCCTTATGCTTAGCTTTTTAAAATGCGGATTCTGTGGATTGAACTCGGGTTCTCACAAGCACTTTGCTGGCTGAGTCATCTCCCAGCCCCTGTGTACCAGAATGCCTATTGCTCCTCTGGCCCACAGTTATCCCTCAGGCCTATGAGCTGAGGGAAACTCAGAGGAGGAGCATCGGAGCCTCTGGGACTCCTGGCTTCACTCCTCCTTCACAGAGCACACTTACGACTTAACAGTCCCCCCCCCCACCGGGATCCCACAGCCCCGGGCATCTGTCCTAGCTAACCTGAACCCCCCACTGCATTTTGAGCCAACTTCTCTTTTTTTCTACTCAGGGAGCCAGCAGGGGCACTCCTCCACCCTGAGTCCTGGCATTTCTCCACGGACCATCAAGGTTCAAGCCTACCTTCCCTTTCAGCCTCCTCAGCAGCTGCCACTGGGATCTTGCTATGCCCCCGCCTCAGCTCCCTGGTCCTTGCGATCTTCTTGGAAAGAATTCAGACAAGACAGAGTGCTGTGTAGAAGAGGGACATTGCTAGAGAGTAGAGGAAGGTATGCTCTCAGTGATGAGCGTGGGCTGGGCCATTGTGCTGATCGACATTTTAGGTGGGCTTCACATTATTTCTAAAGTCTCTGTAACAAAGCAGCTTTTCCTGAGGGGCGTTTCACCTTCAGGCGATTGACAGGTCAGTTTGGACTGACTCTCACTGAAGGGGGCAACGATAGATGCTTGTTCTTAATTAGAGAGTACCCTGGTGTGTGGTAAAATCATGAGGTTTTGGGCTTCTGAAGCCACATTTAGATAGTCACTTATTAGGGACCTTCTGGTAAGTTCAGGATGTCACTACTTCTCCCTGTTTCAGAGAAAGGGTCTCATTCTTTGGATCAACAATTCAAACCCCGCAGTAGGAGCCCAGGGAACTGTGCTTATAGCTCAGCCAGAGAGCCAAGGCTTGCAGACAACAGGGAGGAGCCCCCGGGAAAGCCAGGGCTGCTGGGAGTAGGTATGAGCCTGAACCTTCTCCTCACTGGGTTTGGAGTCACACTGAAGAATGGAGGGCATCTTCAATGTCTAGCACGAAGCACAAGTGACCCTCCACCACCCAGAAATGTGGAGGTGTGCTTGGACACATCGAAAGACACCTGCCACTCGCCCATCTTCCAAGGATGCTAGACATCTCTTGGACACATTCAACCCCTTTAAGGGAAGAGACTTGCTGTGTCTAACACTCCTCACAAAGCCACAGTGAACTTCTAGGGCACCCAAGTCCAAGCCCCAAACTCACTTTATGCTGACACGAACACAACTGAGTTATCTTTGAAAGGACTCCTGATCCAGGCCTGTCAGAGAAGCTGCATGCCTTCGCTGAGCGGGGGGGGGGGGGGGGGGGGGGAACCTTCCTGTCAGGAGTGAAGTCCTCCTAGCTGTGCTCTGCCCCACCCCCACCCCCACCCCGCCCCACCCCCACCTTCCTCCTGTATCATTTTCTTCCACACACCCCCTCTCTAACTCTGTTTCTGTGCTGTTCTGCTGGCGTGCTAGCTCTTCCACACTCTCATCCTTTCCTGGAGGAGCCCAGTTACAAGTAGTCTAGCCTTCTGCCCCACCCACTCAGGGGAATTCAGAGATTAGCTCAGGCTGTATGTCCTCTTTGCACCCCATCCATCTTACAAGTTAATCCGTTCAATATCACTTTTTAAATGATTACGTTCATTATAATAATTATTAATTATGGCACTGTGCAAAACGGGTAAGCAAAGAGGAAGACTCTCTGCAGCTGCTCATTTCCTGCCCCTTCCCTTTCACGGCACATTCTCTGTTTCTATGCCTTCCCTTCCTCTCCCTCTCTTCCTCTATCCTGCTCCTCTTGCCTCTCTTTTTTGGAGTCAGCTTCCTACTCTCCAGGGCCAGCGCACCCCTACACCTTGCTCTGCACCCTAGCCGTGCCCTTTCCCTCTCAGGCTCCCCAGAATCTTTACTGGGAAGGGCTGGTTCTCCAGGGTCTTTGTGGCATGCCAATTCCACAGTTTCCTGGAGTGCACCTCGGGAGGGTGCCCTCCACAGAAGACCTACCTGGGCTGTCTGCACCTCAGTAGGTATGCACCCAACTAGGTACCCAGATAGCAAGAGACTGGGTCTTTCGTACGGCTGTGTCCAGCTGAACTAATGTTGGACCACAGAGACACATCCACATGCCACATGTGCCTCCCTGTGGGTAAGTGGGACAGGTGCATGAAACAGGTGAGCCATCAGGAGAGCAGAGATGAACTGAGGCATGCCCTTTGCCCTTGGTGTTAGCATCTGGAACAACAACGGGGACTCTCTAGTTCACTACCCCCACAGGGAAAGGTACATGTGGCACCCATCTTCAGAGCCCAGAGAGCCATCACCCCGTCTTTTCTTCCCAGCAACTAGCCGCTAATAACCCCCAAACCACGGAGCCTCTGATGCACGAGCTTTGTGATTCTAAGCCTACAGCCGTTCCAGAGAGAAGACTCCACTACCTACCACGTGCCTTAGAAATTCCGCTTTAATCTGGGGCCTCAGTTTCTTGCTATGTCACGTGTGTTGGGGCTGGTGAAGGAGGAGGATGTGCTGGGCGGTCCAACAAGCGCTTCCAGGTACCGTTCTCCTGGACAGTCTTGGAATGTTCAGTGAAAGTCTGTTGTGTGTGCATACACCCAGCGCGGGTTGCCGTGGATGCCTGGCTAAAGTGCAGGCCCCTAGCTGGCTCCTGAGTGGGCGCGATCCTCCCATCGCCACCCCCATCCGCAGCCCCGGGCCAGCGTGGTCGGGTTTTCCTCCGGCAGACCGCAGGCTGGCAGCTGTGTGCAAGGCGCTTTCCGCCCGAGAGGCGGCAGCACCGGCTCAACTTGGCCGCGGGCATCGCAGTGCACAGGGGCTGCCGTGTCACTGCGCCGCGAATCGAGCCGGTACTCCAAGTTCCCGGAGCTTGTGGTCCTGTCGGGCTGCAGATCCAGCCAATTTACCTAGCACCAACGCTGTCAGACCACGGATTCCCCGGGTGTGGGTCCATGCTGAAGCCTGTGCCGGGGTCCGGGGTCCAGACCTGCTGCAGCTCCGAAGGCGGCCACTGGGGGCTGCAGTGCCAGAGAGCCCGGCCGGGATCAGAGCGCTCTGCCGCCGGGTCCTGGGGCGCCTTGGGTCTCTAAGGCTGTCTGCCCCGCTGGCCGCAGCTGCCTGCACAGCCCCCGCAGCATCCTCCCCGATCCGTGTGTGTGATCACTCTGGGTGTGTGTGTGTGTGTGTGTGTGTGTGTGTGTGTGTGTGTGTGTGTGTGAGAGAGAGAGAGAGAGAGAGAGAGAGAGAGAGAGAGAGAGAGAGAGAGAGAGAGAGAGCGTGAGCTTGTGAGCGCGCACGCGTGGGGGGGCAGTGTGCATGCGGGGAGTGCGGGGGAGTGTGTTTGTGTGTGTGCGTGTGGATGTGAGTGCCTGGTTCCCTCCCTCTGATACACACACACACACACACACACACACACACACACACACACACACACAGAGGCTCGTCTGAACTTGAAGACATCTCACAATCCAAGAGGCTGCAGGTTCCTGGGGATGCCCTGGTTTCTTCAATCAGGAAAATCCTAACCTCACCTTCCTAGAAGGGATTATCTTTTCTTTCCTTTTTTCCCCTTATTATTATTGTTTTAATCTGGAAGAGAAGAGCACAAGTTGTACTCCCCCTCCCGCCTCTTCTTGCTAAATGCCATGGATATAACTGAATAAGCTGCTCAGGGCTCTCCCCGCGTGGATGGTCCGAAGCCACCATCTGCCTGCCTTCGCTGGATCGCTGGAGTGGAGAGCTTAGTGTGAGCCTATCTTCAGCCAGGAAGGATGCGTGGCCGAGCCAGGGAGCCCGGGCGCCCTGCGGAGCCGGCCTCGGAGCCTCCCAGCCGCGGGTAGATGCCGCCTTGCCCAGGTGAGTGGCTGTCACTGCTGCGTCTTGGTGATGCTGGATTGTCCGCGGGAGATGGGCGCAGTGATGTGCGCACACCGGGAAACAGGGGAACTTTGCCTCTTTCCTGCCTCACTTGAGGACTTCCTCCATCCTGGGTGCTGGTGTGGACGATTCTCTTTTTCAACCATTCTCCTTTCTGGTGTTTTGATAATGTGTGTGTGGCGAGGGGGGTGAGACTGATGGGGAGCGGGGAGAGCGGGTCTGGGTGAGGCTTGGGTCCGGGTGAGGCTTGGAAGTCAGAGAAAGAGACCCCAGCCGCCTACAAAGACAACCCTTGAATGCAGAACTTTGCCGCCAGACCACTCTGTTGCATCTCAGCACATACCAAGCCAGGCTAGGATGTTGCTGGGTTCTGGGCGAAGGCTCTGGGGTCTTCCAGCTCTTATTGCCTGGCCGGGGTAGGGTGGAGATAAGCGAAGGGTTGATGCAGTGCCACGGAGGGGAGGGAGACATGGTTGCCATTGAGGAGGCAGCCAGGACAGGAGCAGGGGACCCTACCTTGGCTTCAGACAGATCTTACCAAGATAAGGAGCACTGTGTGTGCCCGCAAGGCTTTGGGGCAATAGAATGCCATGATGAAGCAATATGTAAGCTAGCATTAACCATGCCCAGGGTTGGTAGGTCTCTGTCTCCTACCCAGCCCTGCCCGGCTTCTAACGCTGGCCTGAGCAAGGAGTATTGAGAATGCCAGACAGTTTCCAGGAGGAGAGCAGTGCCTTGCTCCCTGTCTTCCCCCGCGGAGAGAGCACAAAAGAGAAGCCATTGGGTTCCAGATAACCAGAGCTGGAGAGAGAGAGAGAGAGAGAGAGAGAGAGAGAGAGAGAGAGAGAGAGAGAGAGAGAGAGAGAATATCAGACAGAGCCTGCAGAGGAACTGAGCACGACTCATGCCAAGTGCAATCAGAAACAGCTGCAGACAGACAAACAGACACCTGCAGAGAGAGGGCCTGTTAGTCGGTCCTCCAAGCTGGAGTTATAAGCATTACTATAGACGTTAACTCTCTATCCTGGTTAAATCAGTGCATCTGTGTGTGTGTGTGGTGTGTGAGTGTGTGTGTGTGTGTTGTGTGTGTGTGTGTGTGTGTGTGTGTTGTATGTCTGGGGCTTTAGAGATCTGATCCCCAAGGCTGGGGTAGGAACCCAGTTAGAGAAGAAAGTACCTCCAGGCTATGGAGTTCCAGGCTCCAGCGCGGAGGCTTTAAGTGGGCTCTTGCACTTGGGTGGGGGCCTGATGGGAACTGGGCGCTTGTGCATCAGGGAGGGTGGTGAGATGGAGCAAAGAAACTGGGGTTCTGTGTCATGTCCTGGGTTCAGAGGCAGCTTTAAAGCCATGCAGCTGGGGTGGGGGTGGGGGTGGGGTGGGACCTGCTAGGGGAGCCCATCAGAAGCTCAAAAGGGAGAGAGTTAGGCAAGGAAGACCTGGGCTTGAAGTGTCTAGCCTCCCTGATCCAGCGCCGCTCCTGCCCTCCTGCTGACTGATGCATCCTTTCTCTCTGCCTTGGGCAGGGGGTTAGAGTTCTGTAGCCGTTCTCTCTCCTCCAGGCCTCCTCCCATGCTCTGCTGCGAACCCCCTTTCCTAGCCTTCCTGCTAGGGCTAATTCCTGCCCCGGAAGGAAGGTAATTCCTTACCTTCTTGCCCTCACCCTGGGAAACACAAACAGCAAACTGAGCATTTCTGGTGCAGTCTCTGGTGATACTCCTCAGGAGGAGAGCTCCCAGTGACAGCTCCGGGTACAGGACAGGGTCTGTCATGGTTGGAAGGAGGCTGGAATCCTATGTCTTCCTTTGAAGTGCAGGCTTTTTCCTAAGGCCTAGAAATGTGAGCAGCTGGAGAGGGTGAGCAGGGAGCATTGAAAGGCCAGGCTGTGTGGGATGAGAGGATGCAGGAAGGGAATACGGGATGCAGATGGGAGGTGGGGATGCTCTAAGACCCTGTGGCCCTGATTTGGCTCAAGAGAGAGCCTTTTTCTTATACTCCCTCCTGCTTCAAAGTAAAATCAAGAGCTCAGGGCTTCTGGCTTCCAACGGCCAGCCTGAAGGGTGGAGCAAGTCTGTTCTTTTTAATCTTGCTTTCCTTGTTGTTTGGGGGGTGGGGGCATGTAGAAACTTCCAAGCTCCCAGCCTGGTGGGGGTATCTATTCAGGGACAATTGAGAATAGATATTGGAAGTAGAATTCTTCCAAAAAGTCCCCCTGGCCTGAGGCTTGGATGAGCACAGTGACTGATCCTAGAGGAGCCACACTCTGATGGGAGAGGCTACCAGACAAGGGCAGAGAAATGGAGCAAAGAAGCACACACACACACACACACACACACACACACACACACACACACACACAGAGAGAGAGAGAGAGAGAGAGACAGAGACAGAGACAGAGACAGAGAGAGAGAGAGAGAGAGAGAGAGAGAGAGAGAGAGAGAATGAGCTGGACTCTGAGCAGAGGCTTTTGTGGATTTCTTTGAAGGCAGCAGAGGTAGACTTTTGTCACATACTGGGATACAAATTAAATTTGGATAGGCTGGGTTCAAATTCTGACTCTGCCATATTTTTATTGGTCACTTGAGACCCATGGTCTCACCCCATGAAGTGAAATAACCATGTGAATCAGGCAAATGTGTGCTGACCCATGTTTTCCTGGCAGGCTCCACATCCTTTCTCAGATTCCAGGGATTACTGCCTCCGTGGGGGAAAGGGGGAAAGAGGAGACAGGCAGAGGCCTTCAGAGACTTGGGAGGTGGAAGGATGGTACCTCTGCTTCCCTCCCCCATCAGGAAGCTCTCCAGAAAACTTTAGGGATGGATTTAAGGACATCAGTTTCCCCTCTGGAGCCCTGTGACCTGCTTCTCTCTCTCCTTGTGTGCTTTGGGGTCTTCTGGTCACGGGCATTTGCTTGGGAAGCCAGACTTTATGGTTTATTAGTTTCATTGCTCACCCTTCACTGCCTGAGGTGCTAGTGTGAAACACACAGCCCCCCCCCCCCCCCCGCAAGCACCTGCTGTCTCCTCCTGACTCTGCCTCCCGCTCCAACTTGTCCATCCTGTAGCACAAGTGTTCGCCATCACATCTCACTTTTTCCCCCTTTGAGACAGTCTCGTTATGTAGCCCAGGTTAGCTTCGAACGTAGGATCCTTGTGCTTTGCCTTCCAAGTGCTGGCGTCCCAGGTGGTAACTTTAGGGCACTCATTCTAAAGCTGTGAATGGGACTCACATGGCTTGAAACAGACACTGGACAGTGAGGAGAGCACCTCCTTCAACCTCAACCCCCACCTCCAATCCCTCCACCCCCACGCCCCATCCTCCCAAAGCTGTTGGCAGAATGCCTGGTGATGGGGAGAGTGGGGTGAGTGACTTCATTCAGAGGTCCTTCCTCTGTCTCGTGTGTAACATAACCCACCCTTGTCCTCCAAGGCCTGCTTTCTGATGTTAGGACTCAGTCCAAAAGTTGACTCCTATGTCAGCAAAAGGCCAACGGTCAGACCCAAGGCTGGGGCCTTAAAGGTGGGTTTCTGTGAATCCCAGGTTTTTGCAGGCCTGCCCTTCCCATCAAGCATCAGGCCTGGCGGTGGCCACTGGGCCTTCCGGAGACAGAAAAGTCAAAGTTGCTGAGGAAAGCCACCTGGTCCCGGTTGCTCACAGGATCTAGAGAAGATAGCTGGGAAGGGACATACATCAGCATGTGCATCAGACGGCAGTCACTAAAGATGGACACAGGGGTGGTAGAGGGTGTGGCCCTCTGGCCTCGGCTTCTTTATCCTCCTTCATTATTACTCCTGGAAGGACACTTTGCTGAAACTTCCCTAGTCATTTGTCCCACGAGATTTAAATCCTGCAGATGTACAGTTTCTCCTCCTACCCTGGGCTCACACTGGTGTTTTGTAGATGGAAAGAGGAGGGATTTTATCTATTTCTTGTTTGTTACCTCTCCACTAAGAAGTCATTTCCCCTCTTGGGGGGCAATAATGTCCCCACTGAGCCTGTATGTCTTAGGGCTCACAGACAGAAGCAGAAGCTGTGGGTTCATAGATCCAGGGGCAGGAAGAGACAGGAGGTGGTATGGGACAGATTCCTGATACCCGGTGACCCAAACCCGAGCTAAGGATGGAGTCACTGAGAGCTTCTCAGCCATCCCAAGCTCCCCCGTCCCCAGTTTTCTGAGTAAGAGTCTCAGATGGAGATGGGAGGTGGGCCAGGATGCTCTGCCCTAGAACCCAGGGCCAGCTTTTGATCAGCCAGAGGATGAGTTCAGAAGGTCAGCAATAAGAACATCCCAGTCACCTGGTTTGTTACAACTCTGAGGCCCGACGGGCAGGGTGGAGCATCCTGAGCTGCTCCAGCTGTGCTCTGTGGCCTTCCCCATCTCCTGGCCTGGTAGAGGGAGACTGAGCAGAAGAAGGTGTGAGAGACCTGCAGAGGAGACACAAGGCTGTACCCTGACTTCTGAGCCACAGAAAGCCAGGGGATCACTCACTTGGAGAGAGCTGGGTCCTGCCATTTGGAATATCCCCACAAGCCAAGGGCATTGGGAAACTAACCAACATGAGGACATAAGTGGTAAACTGAGTCAGAAAATGAGGAGCAAGCCTGTGTATCTATAACTCACCCCTCTGTGTATTGTCTGCAGTAGGTGGGGCTTGCTAATGGCTGTCCGGTATTCACAATAACAGCCAGAAGCAGGAGGGCTCAGTACATTACTATTTGGTATCCTATAGCCAGTCATGCCCCACACACTGGAGCTGGACCCAAGGCACAACAGCACGAGTAGAAAACTGAGCATCCCTCTGAATCCCTCTTCCTCCCCCCGCAGACCTTATCTTCCTCTCTCCTTTCCTCTTCCCAGAGGGCCAGCCTCTCCTTCCTGCCTTAGATTATATCTCTAATAAAAGTCCTGACAAGAACTATGGGTGTATCTCAGTTGGTAGAGAGCTTGCCCAGCATTCGTGGAGCCCCAGGTTTGATCTCTA